TTGATAGGGGAGTTTATGTGGCAGACATCAACACTCTTCAGCGATGACCTCACTCACCCTGCCCTGGCGGCTTGTCCCAGCATGCTTGGCCGTGCTTATACACAGGTGAACATTACTCCACGTTTGGCGAGAGAATTGACTGAGACTACATATAGCCTGGGCTTATTTGCAATGGATGGACATTTTTATTTATCCCCCTGTTATTGTACCTGAGTGTGCTTTTATACAAGTCCAGTATCCTGTCTAGAGTCACATCATATGTATTCATACATACCGTTACCATGGGTAGGAATTATACCTGTTCCCCATGATTCGGCTAAGAGCATTGGAAACAGGAATACTGGTTACAATATATGTAACTCTGAGCAGTGTTGCTGATTCTGTCAATCACATGTTAGATAGCCTGGAATCAACAATTTTCAGCTCATGATTTAGTCATAAGATGACAGACTTCAGCGTGCAACATTCACAACAGTGCATAGTAGACAGGAGTGCACAGACGAACATGCGCAAGTCACTGCAGGCAGAAGAGGAAGCCATCCTTTTAAATTAAACAAGTTTCAAATGTTTCAACAAGAGGAAAATAAAATGCTTGTCTGTCAACATGAAGAATTGGTGGAAGGGAATTGGGGTTTAACTTCTTTTTGCACATATGTAGTGATGTAGGTGCATTACACACGTTTATGGGGGCAGGGTTTGTTTGTTGTGTGTGAGTCCGCATGTCTGTCAGTCCATCCAGACTAATGCCATTTATAAGTTCAATTCCCCTGAAGAACTATTCTGTGGTGGAACATGGGTTCCCCTCTCAACCTGTATACTGACTCCTGCCACCATCAGTCCTTGTTGTACCCCCCTAATGCTATGCACCAGGTAAGAAGAGAATAAAGTACCAACTTGTACCATTTTGTACCATCTGTTGGTATGATGCTGCCAGGGACTGAACCAGGACCTTCCTCTCTCCACCAGACCACCGAGGCAGTGATATGAACATATGAAGCTGGTAGCCATTTATCACTATTCAGTCCACAAACAAAAACTAATGCAACATTATTCATCCCAACTAAAATAGAAGATGTGCCTGCCTTAACCAGGGAAAGGAAAAAAATAGATGTTTGCATATACAGACCGAACATATATCTCTCACTGAAAGAGAGTGAGAGTGCATAATATTAAATATAGAAACATGAGTGTCATACTGAATCCAATCACTACAACCAAATTGAGAAACGTGTCAGCATGGTGGCTTAAAATGTAAGTTGTCTTTCAGAGACATCTATGGACATTGAAAAAAGCACCCTGCTTTCTTGACATGTAGATAAAATAGTGTTTCGTCCATTACTTCAAATAAGTTCTACTCCCACATTCACTTCATGTTGAGTAACGAGTGCATGTTTTGTGTTTAGGTCTTAAATTTATTAAAAAATAATTTCAGAAATGTTTATAATATTTTTGTAAATGGTAGCATTACAGAAAGTTTTTGTGTACACATCTGTCTGTCATGCATGACAGATATTCCAGCAAAGATCTGCTGGTGTTAGATGAGTATCAGTGCTGATTGTTTCCTGGTCCTGCCTGGCTGTCTGACATGCCGGTCTGGAGCGGGAGGCCTGACACCTACCTCAAGTGTGATTGAAGATGTGCAAACTGTGTGCCAGGCTGATTGTACCTGCACGTTACAGTGGTTGAGAGTGAGATGAATAGGAAGAAGCCAGGACCATATGTCCCCATGTTTCCTCTGGACTGTCCAAGCAGATCAGGTTACATCTTCTGACACCGGCCCCCCTTCTTGTTGTTGTACAATAATGGCCTTGTGTTTAGTGGGTCGTGGCTGCAAGGTGATATGTGTTGCTTTGTTTTTGACACAAGCCACGTTGGTCAGCCCTCTATGCTAGAGATGAGCTTAGGCGGAAGCCGACACCCTGCGCGCGTCCGCCGTCGATTTGTGTCAGTAAAAGTGGACACGAGAAAATTAAGTCGTCAGCAGACTTGAAAGGGAAGTTGGATTGTCAGCAAGGCCCTGGTGGAACACCTGGCTTAAGGAATATACTGTTACATGTCGAAGTTGTCGGCGCAGTGACTGACGCGTGGCCACTACCACCGTTACACCGACATAACAGTAAAAATGGGCAAAGACAACACAGTAGTAAATTAAGACGTGGGGTCTTGATACCCTTCACACACAGGCCTTTGTTTTGAGCAGAAGGGACAAAACATCTTTATCCATAAAGTAAAGTTTATGCCTCATAATGACAGTTGACTCCTCCGGCAATTTATTCATGATAGACAAAGTACTGCCTTTTTGGTATAACAAAAGTTATTAAGAAATTGTTTTGGAGAAGTAATATGGGTTATGGAGATGAATAGGAAATTGTTCAAATAAATTATTGGTATTTTATGGTAGATATGTTACATTATCATAAGATTGTTTCCATTTTTGGGGTATGACAAGAATTAAGAAAATGTTTTTAAGAGGTAAGGCCAGACCAGTTTTTTTTACTGATTTTTGTCCTCAGAAAACCTAAAGGCAGGAGGGAAAAATCAATAAAAATAAAATCACCAGTCAAAGTAATATTCCTTCTATATGCTCAAAGTATTTTACTTTTGGCAATTTATGAAGTGTACATGGAGCAAAAAACAGTTCTTCTTGTAAGTTTACATTTCAGGCCAATAAAAACATTAGGAATTTTTTTTTGAGCGGGGAAAATTAATTTTTATTTTTTTTCTTATTCTTGAAAAAACACGACTGGCGGATCCGTAAAACAAGAAATAAAATTGGTCTGGCCTAATGACATTTTTTGGTGTAATCATTTTTTTTATTGTTCTGGAGAAATAATGTGTCATTTTTAATGAATTTAGTATTGTTGAAGTGGAAATAATAATTATTCAATAATAAATATGTTATCATAATTCTGCCTTGTATCTTAAATGGAATTCCATTCCTTATCTCACATCATAATTAGCATTGTTAATTTGTGGTTTAAATTGCAGTTACTAAGAAATAATACACACATTACATCTTTGATAACCTCTGCTGCATGTTAGTATTGATTTATTGATAAAAGATAATCCATGTGTGTGAGATACAGCCCTGTATCCAGGAACAGTGAGCCTGTTATGTCAGTGGACACCCACAACTGTTAATTTGTCCGTTCCATGTGCTGGCATGTATCGCAGGGTGTAAGATAAGATCGGACTGGCCTGTGTCATATCATCCCAAGTTACAGCTGTCACACCTCACAGTAATCAACACCTAATTAACACTAATTTGTCATATTTGATGGCATATTCAACAGCCATATGCTTCCTGGCTTCTTCCCCCATATGTTCTCCATTTGGACAAATCTCAACTCCTCAAATTGGCAACTAAATACGCTTTAGTGTGAAGTTCAAATATTGACAGGTATTTTTTGTCAGCGCTCAAATCCATGCTGTTCTATTGTTGCTGGCTTACAGCGTATGTTTGAAATAGCCCTTCTAAGTGGCCCACAATGCCCTGTGCACACCTTTCATTAACTGTTTCACACCGTTTGGTCAACAATGCCGATAGTTTATTCTGTAGTATTTGCATTGCTACACTAAATCGCAGCTAGCAGTGTGCGCGCTTCATCAGCATATATTTGTTTTCTGGCAGGTGACAGTAAAAGCAACTCTAGTGTTAACCCTTTGCCTGGTCGCACTTGGCAGTCAGTTGCAACTAGTTATAAAATCATGGAAATATGCGTCGCTAAACTGTCTATCTTGCGTCACATTTTATAACTCATGACAAATAAATCACACTGGTTTATTTATTTTATTTATTTTATGCTATCTCCCTTCATCTTGTATTCTGTGACTGTCTTAAATAAGTCGTGGAAATGTTTATATTAAGATTAAGGTAATGTAAAAAATACCCATTCATGTTTCCAGGTTTAGCCTGTCTATATATGTCCTGAAGCATATTTTTAGTGAAATATATCCTATTAAAAACCCACTGTAAAAGTGAATTTGTGTAGCATCATTATATGGGCTATGCTTTGTGTGTCCCTTACTTGTTTTGGAGCGTTGGCAGCAGTGCATATATCTGCCGTCATTTTGTAAGGAATTGGTAATTTGATCAAATTTGATGATTCACAGAGCAAGAAATTGTCACCTCTCTGATTGTCTTTGCCAAACAGTTCAATAGTTTGCCATTTTTGAGTGTTTTGCTAGATGATCTTATTATGAGTACAGGACTAAAAATGTCAGTTTCTGCCGCTGAGTTCATAGATATAATTGTACCTTTAGATACTTTCACCACACATACATTCAACCCCTTCAACAGTTTTGCTAATGTTAAAGAATACAGTTATGGAAATGATGATGACTGATGCTTCAACTTTTGTTGTAAATGTGTGTATTAATTACTGTAATTTGGTATCCCACTGTCCTTGATATGATGAGATCTGCTGTATTGTTGCAATATAGTGTTGGAATTTCCTTATCTTACTTTGTAAATAATCAGTTAATTCAGCTAATTAGTCATTGGTCAATTAGGGGACATGCTTGGTACTTTTCTGATCCTGAATATTTGGTTTGGTCACTCTTTTAGAAACCTACAATTTTAAAAATATACCAAACAAAATATTTTTAACCACAACACATTCATTTTCCAAACACCCAATGTGAATGACTTTCCCCTTCTTTCCTTTTAAACCCAAGGAGAAATTATTTGTTCCAATCTTTTTCATGAAGAGAATATTATATTTTCTTTTTGTATTTATTTTGTGCATATTTTGCAGGTGTTTTGTCGTAGTCCCCAAAATATATTCCTTGAAAAACTGTCTGATTGGTTGTATTTCAGGGAGTTTATTCTATTAATCATTTATGGATTTACTTGTATTGAAAGGTTATTTAGTTGATTGTATTTCAATTGTTAATGTGGTTTATTTCCAGACTTCTTATGATGAATCATTGCAATCATATGCCAATGAAAACAATTTTATAATCAATTATTGGAACATCCCTGCTATTATGTTTTTCAGACTGGCAAAAGACGGAGGCCCAGAAGCGTCGTGAGCGTCTATTGCTGGAGGAGCTTGTGTCTGTGGTCAACAAGCGTGATGAGCTTGTGCAGCACCTCGACACTCAGGAGAGAGCGTAAGTGACACAGTCATGATACCTAGACTTTAAGAATCAGATGTAGGCAACGCAGTCATACTAATCACATACTCAATACAAGTACATGTATCACAGTCGTAACCACTGGACACTCAAAATACATTGGATACAGTGAGCAGTGACCTGATCACTATTTATGCTTTCATTGTAACCTCGAAGAAGTGGTTGATCTAAGTGCTGTTTTTTAAAGAAAAAGCAACTGTCACACATTGTGGAGACAAGGGAACTGTCACACAATGTTGAGAAAAAGGAACTGTCAGACGTTGTGGAGGAAGAAGAACTGGAGAACATTGTGGAAGAAAAAGGAACTAAGATAAGATAAGATATGACTTAATTATCCACGGAGGAAATTTGGTTTACATTCATAAAAGCTCTGGAAGCATTTAACGGTCATAAAAATATTACATTGACAATATTAAAACACAATAGTAATATTAAGATTGACAACATTGTGGGGGAAGAAAAACTGTCACACATTGTGAGAGGAAGAAAACTGTCACACATTGTGGAAGGAAAACTGTCACACATTGTGGGGGAAGAAGAACTGTCACACATTGTGGAGGAAGAAGAACTGTCACACATTGTAGACAAAGAAGAACTGTCACACATTGTGGGGGAAGAAGAACTGTCACACATTGTGGACAAAGAAGAACTGTCACACATTGTGGGGAAAGAAGAACTGTCACACATTGTGGAGGAAGAAAAACTGTCACACATTGTGGACGAAGAAGAACTGTCACACATTGTGGGGAAGAAGAAGAACTGTCACACATTGTGGACAAAGAAGAACTGTCACACACACATTGTGGAAGGAAGAAGAACTGTCACACATTGTGGACAAAGAAGAACTGTCACACATTGTGGACAAAGAAGAACTGTCACACATTGTGGGGGAAGAAGAACTGTCACACATTGTGGGGAAGAAGAACTGTCACACATTGTGGACAAAGAAGAACTGTCACACATTGTGGGAAAAGAAGAACTGTCACACATTGTGGGGGAAGAAGAACTGTCACACATTGTGGAAGAAAAGTGACCAGGCGCACATTGTGGATGAAGAAGTAACTGACAGGCGTGGTGGCAGAAAACAGAATACTCACACATTACAAAACATCACAAAGTATCTGACAGACTGTGGACAAAAGGAACTGTGAAACATTGCCAAGAAAATGGAACAGTCTTGCAATGTGTAAGCAAATGAAACTGTAGTTTTCTAGTCCATATTTCACCGAAGTTAAAAACAAATGCATTATTTATATCATTTGCAGAACTTTACAGTGACTTTATAGAGTTATGAATTAAATATGCAAAAATCAGTATAAAAACTGTTTCCTCGTTTATCCAATCTAGGGATGGTTACAGATGAATCATGTACATCAATCTAATTGTGTGTGGGAACACATTAAATCGTGATCACTGGCTCCAGTACATAGATCTACCTTTACGTAGAAAGTCCACACCTTTGACAGTAATCCCTGATCAGTAATTAGTACCAGTCGATATGGAATGACTGCATGACGTACTGACGATTGAAATAGCTCAGACTGATGGAGTAAATGAAGGGATTACAGCATAAAGATGTCTATTGATGATTATAGTGTAATCTCTTTCACATATTTGAATGCCAGATGTATCTTTCAGGGATGTAGATGCAATGGTTGTGACCACTAAAAAAATAAACTCAAGAACAAGAAGGCCTTATTTAAGTTTTTTGACAAAATGCTTTTGAAGGTAATGAAAACACCTGGTAACAGGTATACGGAATGTTACATGTAAAGTGATATCATTGTGGACAGTCCGGAATGTTCTGGATCTGGTGGCTGATGGAAACAGACATGCAAGGAATTCTCAAAATGTTCATCTTGTCAAGTCCATTGACAGAACATGAATACAGCTGAATGGGCCACTTTGCCGAGTCAAATGAAAACAATCAATTGTTACGATCAGTAGATGTTTGGTTTCTGCAAAGGCCTGAGTGTTACTTTGTCCCTCCATTAGTGAAGGAGGCTGGTGGAGTGTTTGAGTAGGATGAGACCAAGGAATGTTCCTGGTGTGGGAATGTCAGGGTATCAGGACAGTGTTGTAGCTGTGTTTGAAGATGGAAGCTATAGAAATTCCCCTCTTCACGCCCCCTTGGGGCCCCTTTTCAAGGAGCCGTGACAGAGTTTCACACCCAGCACACCCATATCAAAAGTTAGGGGGACAGTGTTTGCTCTCGTCAGGTCTCATACTACCAAAATTGGATATGTACTAATGGGTAAACAAGCATGTCGCAAGGCAATCACACGTGTTTATTAGCACAGTTTGCTGTTTAGTGGAGCCAGGCTGAAGTGCACGTCCAGAGTTGGAGTACAGCGGCTCAACTTTCACTCTTGCCGTCGCTATGTTGGCTCGGGGACATCCTATACGTGTGCCACTTAAAAGAGCAATGACGGCCAAGTTTACGTGTGTAGATTGAAGGCACAGTGCGATTGTTCCCTAATTGTGTCGGTAGTGTGTAACTGAAGGAAGGAATGGTGGCGAGACAGTGTGGCACCAGCGTCCCGGCCGTGCTGTCCTCACATGGACATCATACACAAAGTAAACACCGCAGACTACAGGAAATCCACCGCTTTAAATTCCAAACTGTTAACTTAGAAAGGATCTGACAATAGGGCTAGTGGATGATAGGTAGACAGGGCGCTGGTGTCCGATTATCTATTTGTTTGTTAATTATTGAGGTGAGTGGAGGACAGGCTTCAAGATTCATGCAATCATAAACGAGGGTATCTGTTTCCATCTTCGGCAGATCAATTTTCCAAGGGCAGATACGAACAGGTCTTGAGATGATTCGACACCATATACCTACTCACTACTAAAATGGAGCAAATATTGGTAGTCGCTTCGTCTTTTGATGTATGAAAACAAATCTGAGAAATCCTGTTTTTCACAAGTCGACAAGAGGATGTGTAAGATGATTCTCTGCTGGGAGACTGGCTGTGATACGAGAGAAGACGCATCAGGCTGAAGCAGAGTTCACATCAGGTACCTCAATATCCAGCAACAAGTGTGCTTAAGGGACTTAATTACCTGTAATGAAATTTTACACTTTCTTGAACCTGAAAACTTTTTTCTTCTTGAAGTGAGATTTCTTATCCCTCTGTTTTATGAGGTTGATGAATTGTTCAGCCAAGGTTTCCTGACATGGAATGGGGTTGCATACATTGGACTGTTACAACCTTATCTCATCAGACGAGGGGCTTGTGGAATGGAAGCAGATGTTATGTCATCGAGACCTGGACATATTCACTTTGCTAATGAAGAATCTACCCAACATCTAATCCATAGAGTCGCTGACAAGACAGGCTTCATCACAATAAGAGCAGAAACTTTGATCTTGTAATGGAAATCTTAGAGTGAGTGATGTTTCAAGGCCGATTTGTCCATCCTCTTACTGAAGGTCATTTTGTGCTTTGAGTTGTGATGGACTTTGACATATACATGTCTACCTTTACTTTACAGCATGAAGAAAATAGCTTCAAACTCATTCAGAATGTACATATGATGACATACACATATTGCTTTTCCTGTTTCCTAGGAGTCCAACCATGAATAACATAGGCATGTATATCAAGCAAGTGTATTAAATATATTGCATATAGAACTTTGTTGTTTAGTCTAAATTCTGTCATTTATTCATCACTTCAATCATCAATATAGCCAAACCTCTGAAAGATATGTGTTCCAGTAAGTGTTGTAATGGTGTCACTGTTGTAGATCCACATCTGAGGCCTACAAAAAAAATTTGTGGTTCTGATTACCCGACCGACCCTTGAATTCTGGTGCCGACCCTATTTTTTTTAAGCGGTATGAATAAAATAAGCTTTCAGATACCATTTTTTTTCCCCGGCACCGACAGACATCGGTCATTCCGATAGAGAACGTCGACATGATGTCTGCAAGCTTGATTAAATAAACAATTACACATTGATAAATGTGTTATTAGTTTGTACTTAATTCTAAAACCATATGTAAAAAAATAAATTCCTACCTACCTATCCGATATTTTAAAGAGGTGTAATAGGAATCACAACTTTGTTTATTTGGCCTGATGTCATTTGTAAGGACTGTGCCATTTTAGTTTACTGTAACATGAACATGTGGTCTCCACCCAACTGTAATGTAGGTAACATGTGGTATCTACCTTACAGTAACATATATGAACTTTGTATAACATATGAAGCATGTGGTCTCCACCCAACTGTAATGTATGTAACATGTGGTATCTACCTTACAGTAACATATATGAACTTTGTATAACATATGAAGCATGTGGTCTCCACCCAACTGTAATGTAGGTAACATGTGGTATCTACCTTACAGTAACATATATGAACTTTGTATAACATATGAAGCATGTGGTCTCCACCCAACTGTAATGTATGTAACATGTGGTATCTACCTTACAGTAACATATATGAACTTTGTATAACATATGAAGCATGTGGTCTCCACCCAACTGTAATGTAGGTAACATGTGGTATCTACCTTACAGTAACATATATGAACTTTGTATAACATATGAAGCATGTGGTCTCCACCCAACTGTAATGTAGGTAACATGTGGTATCTACCTTACAGTAACATATATGAACTTTGTATAACATATGAAGCATGTGGTCTCCACCCAACTGTAATGTAGGTAACATGTGGTATCTACCTTACAGTAACATATATGAACTTTGTATAACATATGAAGCATGTGGTCTCCACCCAACTGTAGTGTATGTAACAAATGGTATGTACCTTACTCTAACATATGATAGTACTATAACATATAGAACAAGTGGTCTAAAATTTTTGTTACATTTGTTTTCAGAATTGAGGAAGATGAATTTCTGGACAAGCAAATATCTGAGGGTCGCATTCCATTGAAGGATGAGAAGAGTTGCTCCATCCAGTGATATGTTGGCACAGAGCTGCCAGGAGTTAAACTGTGATACTGAGTGCTAGATGATCAACAAGACATGGTCAGTGTGCTGGACGGATGGGGGTTGGAGGGGGGATGACAGGACATTCTGGAGGGTGTGGTGATCACAAGGCACGTTTGGCGCTGGTAGGAAGGTTTGAGATGGGTCCAGTGTTGATATGAAAGTGTTTTTCTTTATATTGATTTCATGCATAAAATTGATCTTTTGAAATAGAAGTTTGTGTATTGACTTGGAAGATCTTTTATGAGATTGCCGGTAACATTCATGACAGTGCTAGGGCTTGGCAAACATAGTGCTATGAGGTCCTTGAGGACCTTGAGGACTACTGGTCCCTGAACTTTGACCTGGAGTCATTGGGATGTAGGTGAGGGTTGCATAACTCTCACCATCATCTTTGTTTTGCTGTTGTCCACTTGGCAGAACTCACCGAGAAAAACTTACAGTGAGGTTTTATCTGGACACTGGGAGAGTTGTCTCTGGTGCCATAGGTTTATCTCTTCATGTAATGCCAACATTACCCAGTAAGATCAAGCCAACCATATGCTGCCTCTTGCTTCTTCCTCATAGTGTTGTACATGGTGTTCTCTTGCATAATATCACATGTGTTGCATGGTGGTGTTGGTATATTTTGCATATCTAAAACAGAGAATCAGCGTCATTAGCATCTTCTTGTGTGTCTTGTATTATGGTTAATGTCAATGAACTTCATCAGTATCAGTTTAGACGAACATGTTAAAAACTGACATGCTGCCATCCGTGGTAAGATCTGTATGGACCAGCAGTGTTGCTGTTTGCCACGATGCACGGTTCCTGGAATCAAAACGTTGATGAAATCAGAAGAAGGAGCTTTCATGGAGGAACCTAAAGACCAGGGGCTCCTTTCACGAAGCAACCTTTACTAAGGTTAACCTTAACTCCCATTCTTTAACATTGGACTAAGGGTACCTTAGTGACTTACGATCACCTTAGTGCTTTGTGAAAGGAGGCCCAGTACTTCTGCAAGATGAAAGATGTGTAATTATGAACTTGTACAAGTAAAACATGGACTGTATTTGACCTTCACTGTTTCCATGGACATTTGTCACTTAGTGTGCTGTGAAAAATCAATTTTAACTTCTGAACACCCAACCAAATTCTTTACTTTGCAAATGCAAATACAACTTCCTTGCCCTCACCATTGCATACAATCTCAATAGAGAGCTGATTCACTCTTAACCATTGGGTGAAATCCTAGTCCAGGTGCAGCAAAGGACCAAATGCAGTCACTGTTTGCATAAACAATTGACACTTTTTGGAAATTTGTGTCATTGAATCTTTATTGAACTGGTTGTTTAGCAAGAACTTTAAGTTTTGTATGGTAGGGTGGTGGAAGAAATATGGTAAGGTACTGTAATATGTTCTGTGATAATGGTTAGCACCTTCTTTCTGATGGTGGATGAAGAACTATGACCATGTATTCTACAACATATAGATACCATGATGTTTGTGTGCTACTGAAGTTATGTACTATCATTTATCATCATGTACCATATTTGTGAAAGAACTCCACATTGGCCTCAAATCTTGGCTTGTATGTTTGTTAATGTCTACGTGATTGTTTGATTATTTTATCTTTCTTGGACTTGGTCCATATATTCATGTGCACTGCACAGCAGGCATGTATGGCCAATCAAGATTTCAAATGTTAAATAATAAAGTTTTCCTGTTTCTTATAAACCGACGACAACACACTGAAACTGCCTGAAACCTGAACTTACTGAATGAAATGTCTGTACGTGGGTTGTAATTCATTTATCAGGACAGTTTAAAAAGCAGATCATTTTCCTGTGAATAGTACCCTTAGAAATGAGAGTTGAAATGTATTTATTCGGCAATGTTTATTCCATGTACTGATACATAGATTCTTAAGCCTAATCAATACGGAAGTATTGGCAAATATGTTTTGACAAAATATATAAGTTTGAAAATCAGTTGGTGATATTTGTGATTGCAGACAAATATATTGCTGTTAAGATTAATGGTACTGTACTCAGTTCTTTCAGTATTTCTGAATTAACAAACAAAAACAACCACATATGTTAAGACATTTTTGTAAGTCAGATGTTAGGGAACTACTATATGTCATGTTTTTTAGTTAATATTTTTAAAAATAATTTGTTTAATTTTCTTAGGCACGGTTTTGCATAACAATATATACAAGAAAATAAGCATGACATTTGGACCAAAGTTTGTTAAAGGAATTTCTATTACAATTAATGATAGAAATATACCTTGTTAATTTGAGCTCCTGTATGAATTGGAATGTTGGTGAATAGTTGATACATGATATTTTGCAAACAGGTTTATCGTCAAGGCATATCAGTACAATTGTACATGTTTCATGTCTGGTGGGAAATAGTGATTCACTGTTGAATGACTCTGTATGTTAACTTACCATATATTGTTCTCATGGCTTCCAGTAATTGTCAGGAACTTAGTGGCACTCTATCACTGACGTCTCAATCAGAGAACAGGTTATTGTTATTAGATGTTTATTTCATTTGTTTGGAGTTATGATTGTTTGGGATCTTTTCTCAATATTTGAGCTGCACATTTGCGAGTGAAAACACTGCACTTTTTACTGTAATATAATGCATAGCATCATATCATCTCAAACAGCATGTGATGTTACAGCTGTAATATTGCCCTTAAAATATAGAGTTCATATATCGTGACAAGTGTATAAATAGGATTCATAGCCAAGCAGAGCTTAAATCAGAGAACAAAGACTGACATGCTTAGGGCAGGAACTTGATTCTCTTTATCAGGATGTTATTTGTTATATAAATTGTTTTGATCAAAGTCCAGGGTCTATACATAATTCACTGCTGGTATTTTAAGCAGTGTTCAGTGAACAACATTAAACAGTTTTAGTTTTCCTGAATATTTTCAAAGACTTTTGCCAAAATGTTTTCCTGCTGCTGTATTATTGATATTTTGTACCTGACAACCTGTTGACAAAACTGAAATATGTAGTCTTTAATATAATGGAGGTATTGTAACATAGGCGTGCTTCCTCCATCTTGTCTCACAGAAAAGACACACAAAGGGACTTGGCATACACTCTTGTTAGGTACCCAGAGCTTCTGCCCAGTTGTGTGTGAGTCGACAGGTTTTTATAATATGCAACTATTCCATTTCAATGTCACATATGTTCTCGTCACGATATGGCTGAAATATTGCCAATGTGATGTTAAATAATAACTCACTCACTCTGCCCAGTTGTGATCTATCTTTAGGGGAGGGTTATCATGATGTACGGTGTAATTACATGGAATATTACTTACTGGGCATCGTGAAAAGTCTTGATTTTCTTTCAAGCAGTTTGAAACTCTTTTGTTCTTTGTTTTTCTTGTTTTGAGAGTGTGTTTATATTTCTGTTTCTGTTAGATAAGCTGAACTGTCAATTCATTTATTGTTTTATTGCATTTAATTTGATACATGATGTAAATATAAAATGTGAACGCCGGAGAGTAATCAGTCAAAACATCTGATGATAATCATTACAGGTAAAATAGTAGGGAAGACTATGCGATTGGATCACTGATTTTCAGTGATGACATCAGATATTTGTGGAAGGTGAAGCATGTCCTGCCTTATTGGTAGCACCTGCCACTTACATGATTTGCTCGTTGCCCAACTCTGTACAGCATTTCTCTTGCCATGAGGCAGGGCCATGTAAACAAACCAGACAATCTAGTGACAGACCATACTGATGTTTCAAAGATTTTGTCAGTGAGTTGGATCAAAGCAATTTCACACTATGGCCATCTTAAGGTTAGCGTATGGGAGTTACGATCATCATAGCTCTAAGATCACTTTGTGCAGGTGGGACCTGAAGAATAAGATGTTCAGGATGGGGAGGCAGATGTCAAGGTCATGTTTAGTTTCAAAACATTTTTGGTAATAAACATACCCCAATGTGCAATCTTTGGCGTACTGAGCCCTGGTGATATTATATTTCATGCTTACAAGTATCCTGACATTGTATTGCTATATCTCATACAGTCACAAATAGTGTCCTGAGTTGCCTCATCATCATAATCATCATCATATAAAATCGCACATTTTTAACAATGCCATAGCTATGTGCATGTATATTATGTGAATATATCGTATGATATTTTGTGTTTTATTCCATGTTTGTAGATTTTGTAAGTAAAGAAATGTCTATTTATTCTCACTGCCTGATGTGGCGTTTTTGTTTTGTTTGACCATATTCCAGCAACTACAGAGTGAAACAGGACGACAGTGTTACAGAGACTCCAGTTCCCATGGCAACAGATGTCATGGATTACTGACTAATATTATTCACAGTTAAATATTCAGTTAATCTTTTATAAGAGTGGAGACAAGTTATGTGTAATCCTCCACTAAAATGTTATTGAAATTGTAATATTTTCACTATCCATCTTACAATGGATTCATGATATTGGAATATGATGCTAAGATTCACAGTCTTCATGGTTGATGTAAGTGTTTCAGAATTTTCTTAAAGGTCCTTTACCTACCCTTATAAGGAATATGACACTTTGTTTTAAAGATTGTATTATTATAAATGGTATAAGAAATATAGATGTGTCTGCACTGCCTCAAACCCATCACTGTAGCTTGATTTTTAAACTGAAGTTTGAAATATATAACCTGTTCAATAGTGTTCCCATACTGCAATGCAATGCCACAGCAGCTTGTGATGTTGATGTGCAGTGGTACACGATGTAGCAGTCATGTTGCAGTATCTGCCGCTGCTGCACGCAGACAGGACATCACAAAGCATCTATCAAGCATGGTAGAAATGATTTTCTACCATATCACCAGCTGGTTTTGAAAGATTGTCCATCAGAATTTTGGAAAAATGTTTCATCACAGTTTGTACTCCTTTATTCCAATTAAATATGTTCACAACACATATTTTGGTAAATAAGACAATATGAAGCATTTTTGTGCAATATCATTTCAAAGAAAACGTCCTATGTGTGTTATTGGCCACATTGTAGTGGCTATTACTGTAGTAGTGTTAAAGTCACTGTATCTGAATACCATCAGTGTGTGGTTATTCAGGGTATTCACAGTTTTGTCTGTGATGTCACCGGTCTTGTAATCAGTATCGAAACTCTGATGTCATCAGTTGTCATGCAGTGTCTTTATATGATATGCTTGTCTGAGAGTCACCGTCTGCTGTCTGCTTTGGCATATTTTTATAGTTTTGTGAGAGTGTGTATGAGAGCCTTGTGAATAAAGTTGTCCACTTTATATTCCTTATCTGTGGTTACTCACTGTTTCCTATGAGGACACACTAACATCAATGCTTTGCCAAGCTGCCAACAGCTGCACCATGAGGATGGTCCAGCTCCATTGTCTCAAGACCCAAAAACCTTCAAATGATTACTCGCCCGTGGAAGATAGATTCTACTGCAGTGTAATATTTTACGGCAATATTACACTAGTGTAATACCGCTAGAGATGACGACATAGGGCGGGGGTAGCCTAGTGGTTAAAGCGTTCGCTCGTCACGCCAAAGGCCCGGGTTCGATTCCCCACATGGGTACAATTTGTGAAGCCCATTTCTGGTGTCCCCGCCGTGATATTGCTGGAATATTGCTAAAAACGGCGTAAAACCATACTCAGTCAGTCAGTCATGACGACATAATGGTTACAGTTATGACGTCACAGTGTTAATGCCTCTGTCGCAATGGTATTAGACCTTGCTTGACTCACGGAAAATTGATATGAGAGTCATCACACTGTAGGCAGTTTCTATCAATTTATGTTGGAGAGTAATAAACAGAATACTAAATTAAACTAATACCATTTTGATTTAACTCGTGAAAGATGTAGTATCAAACTCGCTTTCGCTCGTTTGATACCAAATCATTAACTCGTTTGATAAAAATGGTAATATACGGAAGGTCGTTTAGTATCCTCTATGTATCTCATGCTTATCACAAGGGATGAGTGACACAGCGGCTGGCCATACGTATTGCCCTGGTTTTACAGAATGCGGGAATCTGGGGATGAAGGTTACCTGACTTCTAAGAATCAGGTTGTACAATGCACGGAGCCAAACTGTATGTGAAATGCGGATTCGATGTTTGTGGAAACCTTTTGTCTTTAATAGTTTGTCAGATTGTCAACTTTTCAACATCAGTAGTAAAATAGTAACTAACAACACAGCAAGACAAAAAATTGAAATAGTAACAGCGTTTGAACGCGAGAAGGAAATGACGTCATAGTTCATCTGAAATCACGTATTGTACAAGTCCATCCCAAACTAAAAATGACCGCTTGAAGTACATTGGAAACAGGCTCTTTGATGTCAAATTCCTTAATATTCCTTATCGGAGTAACACGCCTGTAGAATACGATCCCGCATCCAAATTCGTTCGTTCAACTTTCGGAATGTAATTACAGCGTCTTTTATTGCCTCCAACTTTATTCTTTGAAAAGTATCTTAAGTTTAGCATTTCATTTGAACTTATCTGCCCCACTCTATAGTACTATCTCCTGCAAGCTGGTCATGCATATCAATGACGCATTATGATAGCTGGGTTTTTTATCTGAGATATGAAAAAAATCTTAATAATAGTATGATACGATCCCCGTCCCGTGTTCGACGTTACCGTTAACAATGGCGTCGACAAGGTCGCTGTTGCCTGCTTCCGCCTGTAGCCGATTACCGGTTATTGGCAATGTAAGCCTTGTCGCGCCATTGACCGCCATATGGCATTGGACGAGGCTGCACAAAACAATCACCATCTCTCAACCATGTTGGAAAATATTAAATGATCGGAATCTTGGCTGCCGATGCATAAATTAAGCATTTGAGGGTAAAAGACATAGTTGTAACAAAAACCAGTAATCGATAATAAGCGATGCTGGGGCGATCAGCCCTATCTCACTCGTCCAGGTGGGACGCACAATCAACGGCGACTTCAAAGGTGACACCGACAGGTAACACAGGTGCCTTTAAAAGCCGATTGTCTTTGATTTATGAACCTGGGACTTAGCTGGTTGGGCATTTTACATTATTTCACGTCGGAGACGTGCACATTATTCTTATGGATATGTGCACAAAATGGCTGGTTTTACAATGATGGAAAATTAGATTAGGGTACACCTGATCTATACAAGGTGAAACGATTTACGTCCGTCTTCATTACAATGTGTATTAATTTAACAGAAACGCATAGAATCAATTAAAATAACAAGTACAATTTCAGTACGATCACACACGCTTCTCTCACTACCCATCCAAATGAAATAGGTTTTAAGTGCACACTTCTTGCAAAATTTAAATGAATATACTAGTGGTAATTCGTTTCAAATAGGGGCGGTGGGGTAACCTAATGGTTAAAGTGTTGGCTCGTCACGCCGAAGACCCGGGTTCGAATCCCCACATGGGTACAATGTGTGAAGCCAATTTCTGGTGTCCCCCGCCGTGATGTTGCTGGAATATTGCTAAAAGCGGCGTAAAACCAAACTCAGTCAGTCAGTCGTATCAAATAGATCAACTCAAAATGAATAATCGAATTATAATAATTATTTCCCATTGCAAATTAATTTAAAGGAAATTCCGAAAACCTTTTTTTGATACCTAGCCAAGCAAATATTTAGCCTTGATGCTTGATTTCAGCGACGCTGGCATAAACCATTAACACAAGTGAATCGTCATGTATACATCCAGAGGTTGATAGAATTGTTTCAAACATCGCTTCAACCACTCCTTTGTGTTGACTGTACCGGGACCACAGACATTGCATGTACAGTGAACGGCAAACCCGAACAGCCGGGCTAGATAGATTTTTCACCCACCAGTTCAGATACAGTAGCCAGTTTGTTTTGTTACAATACCAACTACATGTACAGGGAAAATGTGAGAGAACTTGCAGAACGAGTGACAGTGGAACAAACAAGACGAATGTTACGGTACAAATCTCTGAAACAGATGTCATTAAAATTTATTTAATGACCTTCCAGGCTGGAAATGACCATTTCGAACGTCCTGCCATCTAAATAACAAAGTATTTTTACTGGATAGAAAGTAAGTTAGATTGTCACTTTCTCTTAATTATATTGTCACTTGCATTACAGATAAATATAAAGACATTTAAGTGTTTAAGATAGGGTTTAGTTTTATGCTGCTTTTTATTCAATAATATTCCACCAATATCACCAGAAATGGGCTTCACACATTGTACCCATGTGGGGAATCGAATCCGGGCCTTCGACGTTACAAGCGAACACTTTAACCACTAGGCTATACACCAAGGTCCTAAATGTTTAAGATCCCAACGGCGGGGGACACCAGAAATGGGTTTCACACAGTGTACCCATCTGAGGAATCGAACCCGGGTTCAAGAGAACACTTTAACCACTAGGCTACCCCACCACCCCTCACTGCCTGCAACCAATGACAAGTGGCTACATAGCTACATAGCCTTACCTTGAGGTAAGGGTGATTATACAAGTCGTTTCAACTTAAAGCCTAGAAGTACCATCTTTCTTTCCACATTGTTTTGCCACAGAAGATATTAGTATGTTTGTGACATCTTTCCATATTGTCAAGAAGATTTCTTCCTTGAGTTCTGACTATTTTATAAACAGGTCTGAAAGTAAAATTATCACAAAAATATAAAGGAAGGATTTCCTTATCATTTATTTATGTTAACTGGGCCTTGTTCCACAAAGCAAGTGGTAGTACTAAGATTATGGTATCTACCATACTTTAACATAGACGACTGTTGTAGCACTGCGTTCGCTCTGTGCAACCGGGCCCACATCTTTACACTAACGGTTGACACAAACACAATTTGACTTCTATCCATACCAACGAACAACAAGTCAAATAAAATCTCTTGATCACTGACATTTCTTTGAAATGAAAACTATAGGATAATAAATGTCGAACCATATTTGGTTAACATTTGAATGAAAACGGTTATATTTTATGTTAGTTTTTCAGAGACTATCATTCCTGAATTTATTGTTATAGAAACTGCCTTGCAAAACGAAGTATACACTTGAAAACGGGTTTGGTAAGAGGTATTAGAAACGCTTTCTAAAACGTTACTCGGCTGAAACAGCTAAAGTCCAAACCTTCAATTAAGATGCTCATATCACGTCAGCATCGACCGCAAATATTTTGTTTGCTTAATTCCAGCCACAAAAGTGTATACCTTCATTTACCTGGTAATTTTATTATCATCTAAAGTGTAAATACAAACAGATGACGCTTCTTTCATTTATATGGTCGTTCTGTGTTGTTGTTGTTGTTGTTGTTGTTCTTGCAATATACTACCCATTAAAAGTTTAGACTCATCTAAAGCACTCACTATACGTCATGTATATATGGTTACATAGAAGATGAATTTCTCCACTAACTTGGGGGAACCAACTGTAAACCTTATGCAGATGAATTGCACGAGGATCATGCATCAAATTGCTTAAAAGCATGCGAAAATATCGTGCATGTGAACAGCTGCGTTTTGGTGTGAAGTTTTGTTAAGAATTCACCAATTTTCACTGAGTTTCATCATTTACTGAACTCATAACAATAATCTTTTCAACGTTACGAATTTGTTTTACAATACATCAGTTCATGTGTAAACAGTACCTTTAAACAGTATGGAATGTTTTGCAAAATCTAGTTTAGAACAGTTGACTGAAGTAAGTGGCTACATGTACACTAGTGAGTCTAAACATTTGATGGGTAGTATGCTTAAATACATGGAATAGTATAATGTGCACATTTAAAACATCATCTGTTTTCCTGCGTTCTACCCATGCGGGCTGGGCCGTGGCGTGCGGTATGGGTGCATGGGTTAAACGTTCCCTCATTAAGCACAATGCCCGGGTTCGATTCCCAGATGGGTACAATGTGCAAAGCCCATTTCTGGTGTCCATCGCTCCGAATAATGCTAACAGCGGAGACAAACACACAAACACAAAAACACACACACAAACACACACACAAAACAAAACAACACAAAACACACACACACAAACACACACACACACACACACACACACACACACACACACACACTCACTCACTCACTCACTCACTTACACACTACCCGATCCTGGACCCACCCCTAAACAAAAATGCGATGTACTTAAGCCTAAAAACCAAACAATAGAATTATATTGTAATGCATATAATATGGAACAGCGGCAGTCTATAATATGCAGTTCTAGATATCATCATCTAAGCGATCTCTGCTCGTTTATTGTTTCCTGGGTGAGATGTTT